CTTGCATTTCCAACTTTCAGTCAAAGAGGTCGAAACCATATCATCATCAGACTATTTCTTCTCCTCAATGTTTTCTTCTTTCTTGGCCTTAGTAGTAGGTGCAACACTATCGCCGTCACCACCAATAACACGAGCAACAGTGGCTACAACAACACCACCACCACCACATGGGACTGAAGCCAATTTCTCCCTTCCAGCTGTAATTAACTTGGTAATACTTTTGCCCTTGACTTTAGACAAAAGCAACTATATCTTGGCATCTTCAGCCTTAGATCCAACTGATCCAAGAATGTCCTTCAAATCATTGACAGAAGGGCTAGCATTCCCTCCCAAGATGAAATGAAAGTAGTTGACAATCACCTTCCAATACTACCTAATCAAAGAGCTAGAAAGATAACATAAAAGGTTCCAAGAAATAGGCGTAAACCGTGACTTACAATACTTATACAAGAAAAACATAGAAATTAGAAAAAAAAATAAGGGTGCTTATGAAGATAGAGAGAAAAAAAAGAGAATGAAAGTTGAGTCAATTGAAAGTGGAGAGAAATATAAAGGGGAAAGAGATGACTAAAAGCAATGATCAATGGATGACTAAAAGTAAAAATCAATAGTCTCTTTTCATAGGAAGAGAAAACTGAGACAAGATTAATGAACTCAAGCAGAAGGATAAAGATATGGGTATTTTAGTTATTTTAGAAAATCTTTTAATGATGTATAAGGTTTTGGGACAAACTGGCCATTTCTTATACTAATGGATCTAGGCTGAATTATGGTCAAAATCTAAGGGCAGGGATATTTTACCTTTTCATTTATACTGAATTATTTATGGGTATGTTTTGTGGTTTGAGGGTGTAGGTGATTGTATTTAATTTTTTAGTTAATTGGACAATTAGTATTTGGTCAAAGCCTGAAGCTAGACTTCTTACTTGGTTAAAGTGATCAAATATTTTTTGGTACTCTTGTGGTTATGAATGTAATTTAGTTGTCAAATTTGCAAGATGAATTCCAATTTTGCTCATAATTATGGTTTTTTTTTCTTGATATCTTTTGGTTTGTTGGATTTAGAAATATTGTTAATTAATGTACTTAGTGGAGTTGGAGCATCTTTTGACATTTTATGAACTATTCAACTACAAGCATAAACATTTAACGAGAGCCGATTTTGTTGACAACAGGTCAAAAATTATTAGTGTACATGAAATTTTATTTATTTATAGTTTAAATATTGACAATGATTATCTTAAATATTAATCAATTTCTTGAATTATCTATAAAAACTAGCATATTTTTGCGCTAGAACTTACATTTTAAAAATGTGTTTGTAAAGGGGGTTTTTGTGATAGGGAAATGAAATGATGCAAACAAATAAAAAGATGAATTGGAGGCGACGAAAAGAAAGATTAGAGTAATTCTTAAAGTACTGAACTTGTGGAAGAGAATAGGTGAGTAGTAAAGTAATATTTAAGATAAGTAATGAATATGCAAGGATTAGAATAACTGTGTTACAAAAGTAGTAGAGTAAGACCAAAAATAGATAGAGAATAGGCGAGTGGTGGAGTGAAGCTAAGAAAGACTAAGTGGAAGAGCGTTAAAGAGAAAAATTTAAAAAGACAAGCTTTGAATGGAATGTGAAAGTGCTATTTATAGAACTAGAAGAAAGGGTTAGTCAAGAAGAGCTTTAATGCACATTTATTGAGAAGAGCTTTAATGCACATAATGGGTAATAGTTTCTAAAACTCACTATGTGGATATTAAAATAGTGATTTTATTGCATATAATGAGTAACAATTGGAAACTCATTATGTGATTGTTGAGGAATGAGTGTTTTATGACTATTAATAATGTAATAAGAGTTATTCTCGAGTAAAAGATAAGAGAGAATAGGTGTACATGAAAAGGTACATAAGAATGAGGTAAGGGAGAAGAGGTATATAAGAAAACATACAAGAAAACAAGGTAATAGAAGAAGGTGTACGTGAACAAGTACAAGAGAACAATGTATGGGTGAGATGAGAGGGAGAAGCATTTGTACTCGAAAAGGTACAAGAGAACAAGAAATGAAAGAAAAACACTTATACTTCAAGAACAGGTTAAGAGGAAGACCTCTTAACTACTTCTATTTTTTAGTCACTAAGACAAACTTTTCAAAATATCCCAAAGTGAAAGTAACCCACGAACCTCTACCACTTATTTCAAGTTGCTTTCATAGTTATCCACATGAAGTAATTATTCCACTTGTATTAGTTATTCCGTGAAATAGTGCTTCACTTATCTTAGTTGTTTCACTTGAAGTAGTACTTCACTTGTTCTAATTATTCCACATAAAATAATGTTTCACTTGTTTTAATTGTCTTCATTATTTTTTGTTTAACATTACGCTACTGTAAAACAATTCTTAAAAGAATAATAAGTTAGTAATCAAAATCATATGTAGATGTTCATTCTAGGTAATTTCGTTTTGAATCTTTATAAGCATTTTAGACTGAGCTTGACAAAGATCACATCTAGATTCTTGTGAGAGTTTTAGAGCAAATTTTATCTCCTAGGTTCCACATTAGGGCCTGAATATCCTTCAGTTAGCGTTCTGTAAGTAATAGAAAAGAAAAAAGTGAGGGGATAGATGAGTCATAGTACAATGGTGAACCCACCTTTGGGTCCTTGTAATACGTGAAAGTATAAATTGCCATAATGTAAAAGATTCGAAGGATGGTAGAGAAAACAAGCGACAGCTTCTTAAATATTTCTTGTCCTTCTGCTGCTTAAATCTTATTTTCATTGATAATGTTAAAACCAAACATACCTGAAAGGGAGTGTCCTTTTCTTGGGTATGACAACAGGCAAAATAACAGTACTTGCAGCTCAAGCTAATTAGTCTATAGAGTTTTTTAAAGCTATGAGAGTTGACCTATCTCATAATCATGTGCCCTTGATATTTGTAATCATAATCTGAAACATGGCAAGAATTTTGGTTATTTGGATCTGAGGGGATTGATTATTCTGAGAAACAATGTCATATCAGGTCAATGTCACCATTCTTTGGGACCTTGTTTGGAAGAGAAAATATATCATTCAATCACCCTCTAATAAACACAAAATTAGACTCAAGTAGAAAAGGTTTGGCTCCTGGCTTCTGGTCTGCGATGTCCTTTGGGAAATCTAGGCTACTAAAGTTGCGATCAAACAATTACAAGACAATTAAACAACCCAATGTGCTACGGTTACACTGAACTCGTTAAACAGCTGGCAGATGTCATACCATTGTGATGTACAAACGTTATTGGCAGTTATACACTTTTCATGTAACCATCGGGTTGTTCTTACATAGCAAACTTTCTTCAAAGATGCATATAGGAATCAAAATCTGTTACCCAAATTTGGTGAAGCAAGCCTTCATTTCCACATAAGGAATATGTACACTTCACAGTCCATATCGAAGGGCCACAAGACATTCAAACTGCGACATAAGCTATAGAGTCGTCCTCTTGATGTATTTTAATATATAAAGAAATTTTCTTAATTGTCCAATGGCTTTGGGCATCAAATTTTTATAAATTTTAAATTTTATAATAATAATATAATTAATTGTATTAATAATATATAAATTAATATAATTAATAAAATATCTATCTATTCTCTTAGGTTTAATAAATATCTATTTTATTTTTCTTTCATATTCTTATTAATTCTTAACTATTTGGCTCATTTTTTATGTAAAAGTCAAGATAATAAATAAAATAATATATTTTCTAACTTCTCTTGTTATGTACTTAATAAATTTAAATTTTTTATCACTCCCCAATTCCTACCATACTATTAATTCTCAATTATTTTACTATTTCCAATCAACTAACGTTAATATGTATTTAGTTATCTCTAACAGTTCTTTTTGTCAACTGTTTTTTCTATTTTCAATCAAGTAATGTATTAATTGTGTCCAATAGCTATTTTTTATATATATAATCAATTTTTTTTTCAATTTATAATATCCAGTTTCGAATTCTTCTTTCCTCATTTGCTCTTTTTTCTTTTTAACTTCAATTTTTCTTCAAAAAATACGCAAGAAGTCTATTATACTATTATTTTCATAAACCTGTAAGTTTCATTTACTATTTACAATAAGCATTCAACAAGCAAGCACTATTATTCTAATCTTTACAAACTTTTTTACTTTAATTTAAAGTTTATATCATATTATCATATTATTTCTATCTTATATGATAGTTGATTTATTGAATTAGAAATTTAGCTAAAGATTTTAATAATTTTTTTTAATTTCAATAAGAAAAGATTTTATTTAAATATTTAGCTTTAGACTTTTAAAGTTATTGAGTCATCTTTGTGGTTATGCTTCAGGTACTGTAATTAGTATTTAGTTGAACCATATTTTTCCTAGCATCGGCATTTTAATATTCTCAATTATGTCTGTTTCTTCTAAGTGCTTTAAGTATGTTAGATCCTGATATCAGTTAAAGATAATCATGAAGATTCTGTGAACCAAGTTATCCATAATTAAGCACAAATGATGAACAATTTTCTGATCTTAGAAGTTAGAGCCATGAAAGAGACAGAGGAAGAGGCTCTGTTGCTTTGTTGAATGATAGGGAAGTGGTGACAGGAGGTCACATGGATATCCTACAGAAGGGGGTGCACAGTTAGATACTTTCCCTTGTCAGATGAAAATATACAAGCGTCCCCTTCAAAAACCAAAGCAATGTCCATTTCCTAACCCTCTATTTGTTTTCTTTCTTCCCATCTCCTTGGCTTCTTTCCTCTTGGAATGTGTGCTCAGAATCTTCCTCTTCTTTTTCTGGCCTGTCTTGATGTTTTCATTAACTCCCAACGAGATTTTGGTCACACCCTTTAATCTCATCACTGATTTATGAAGTCAGCCGATTTGCTTCTCATTAGTGGAACTTTCTTCAAAGCACTTCCATGCAATTTTTAAATGTTGATCGTAGCAAACCCATATGATTCCCAAGCACCAACAACAATTAAAAAAATGAAAAAAAAAATGCGAGGAGAGAATCCTTTTTTTATTTCATGGCCCATGCTACATGCCAGAGCTGGAAAACCACTCAGTGGCACATGTACCTTAACTAATTTTTTTTTCCTCTACTATGATCCAACCTAGCAAATATATCACAATTCACTAAAGTGTGGGAAGAAAAATGTATTATTCAGAGCCAACCAACCCTCCACATAGATTTTCTGCCCAAATGATGTAGAAGCAAATATGTCCAATTCTATGCACCAATCTACAGCCAAAGCAAGAATTTGAAGTTGACAGGAAAATTCCTAATTTTCTTCTTAACTTGCTAAGGCAAAGCTGAAGTACATAACAACAGTGTGGTACTTGTTGGAGAATTGGTCTTAATTCAATGGAAATTTTGCTGCTCAGCCCATGGCCAGAAACCTTGCTGCTCCTCCACTCCATTGAACATATGGCAGAAGCTCTCTTCTTGAACCACCTGATCAAGTTTAAGGCATTGGAGGTCTGGCCTTGATGAGCCTTGGAGAAGTTGAGTCATGCTTGCAGGCCTGACGGATGAAGGGAAGAGGTGTTTACTGCTCAACTGTGAAGACACGGGACTCGTTATAACTGTTGTTCTTGAGATATCTAAGTTCACATCACAGCTGTTATCGCTTCCATTGCTCCAAGAACCCTCATTTTCTTTCTTGATGCTGATTTCCTTTGAATCTTTGCTTTTCAAAGCCAACAACTATAGCAATATTGAAACCAAAAAATAAATGTGAAGATTTGAGTAATGCCAAAGAATTACACCCAATTCCATGTGCCTTCAATGGAGAAGATAAATCTTGTATCTAATTTATTAAGGGAAAAAAAAAACAATTGCAACTATGTGTACTCGAGCGCCTACCAGGATTCAATGAACTTATATTCCTAAGAGATGCTTCTGACACTGACACTTCATATTTGTGATCAACTAATCTAGCAGAATCATTAAAATAAGGAACACGATGACTTTGATGAACATTGTTAATGTTGGATCAAGAACTCAACCAATAGAAACTAAGGTGTGCTGTCAGGATTAACATGACACAGAAACTCTTAGCCAGAAAAAATACTACCGCTATAAATCTGATGTAAGAGGTTAAATGTTCAGAAATCTGATCTCCCTTATGAAGAGGAAAGCCTTATTTCACCCTTCTTAACTTCAGTAGCTAAAAAGCTCATAAATGGGAGAAAAATTCCATTTTTTTTTCTTAGCCAACTCCTGTTCTACAGACTTAATCCAAATCATCAGCTCAAGAATATTGAAAGGAAAAAGGCTCAGTTACTAGTTTAAAACTGAAGAATCCTCAGATCAAATGCTCTTCCAAATTTCTTGAGCCTCATCCAAAACCTAATATGAGTAACAGTGTTAAAATCCTTAGACCTACAACTAAAAATTGACTCATTGATGAATAGTAGAGAATTACCTCCGCGCTAAGTTTCTTGTTCTGAGCTTGAAGGGCATCATTTTCAGCCTTGAGTGCATCAAACTGTTTCTTCAAGGCCTCATAATCTTTCTCCAATTGCTTGGTTTTCCACCTTGCCCTCCTGTTCTGAAACCATATAGCTATCTGCCTTGGCTGCAGCCCCAAAGCTTTAGCCAGCTGTATTTTCCTCTCAGGTTCAAGCTTGTTACCCAACTCAAAACTCTTCTCCAGTGCCTTGACTTGTTCCAAGTTCAGCCTCTTCTTCTTCTCCCCAATATGCGATCCATCATCAGATAACTCATCATCTCCATGTACTTCCTCGGACTTGTCAACACCTGAGAAAGATACTGATCTCTTCATCATAAAGGGTGCACCACCTAGAACCAACAAAAACACGTAAGACCAGCAATCAACTGCCATACACAAACAGATACACACACATCAATAAAAATAGAAAAGAGAGAGACAGAGAGCAGCAAATAGAGAGAGAGACCATGGAAGAGTTGAGGAGGGCAGGAAGGGAGGGAACTGAGGGAGGTAGGGGAAGGGAGATGGTCATTGTCTTCGTGGGATTGGAACAGGAAAGCATGAGGAGGGAAGGCCATGTCAATGCTAAAAATCATTCATGCACTTGGATTCTGGGGGTGGACAAATTTAAGGGGCCTAATAAGAGGGAGAGTGGGGGTGTGGATTGTGGATTCTGGAATATGGACTGGCTCTCATAAGACTATCATGGTTGACAGGTTATAGGAAGAGGACATGGGGTGATGGGGTTCAGAGACTGAAAGACAGCGATTTTTAGGTTGAGAGAGAGACATGCACAGAGTGAACGAGAGGTGTGAATTGTGTAATATATCACAGATGGGAGCATTCGTGGACCCATACCCTCTGGTATGGGCTCTCTTTCTCTCTCCCGCGATAAACACTTACACATGGTTTATCTCACACTAAAATCTCATTTCCCAGGAAATTAAACACTAGTTTTAAACCTAGTCATTCAAAACATTTGCCTCATAGTTTAAAGACATGTAAAACCTTGTCATGTTGAGGGTCAACCCAATGAGTAATTTACACAGAAAGACATCATATTTTCTCAAGTCTTAATTTCCAACCTTGATCAACACAAGAATCAATTCAAAAACTTTGGATTCGATCTATAGCTGTTGCTCTCAAATATATAACATATATAAGTTGTATCAGTTGTCAGTGTATAGAAGGTGCAGTGTCACATTCCTTTGCAAGTAGCCAACAGAAAATTTTTATTTTCATTTTGAGAAGTATGAAATGAATTTTGTTCAGTGGCATATGGTAATTGGTTATTGGACAAAAAAACGTATGCAATGAGAAAACAATTTTGAGGTTCAAAATATAAAACTCATCAAATCAAAATAAAATTTATTATACAAGATTTCCTCAGTCTTCATCATTGACCCCACCAGAAAAGAAATGTTTGTAACAATCATCAATATCAATGCCAATTCAGGGGGTCGTGGTGAATGATCAATCATTCAAAGATTCTTCACTGGCCAGTAAGTCATCAATGTGAAATTTTGAAAAAGAAAGAAGAAAAAAAAGAAGTTTGAGAGTGGAAAATTTTGGATAAAGAACGAGAACAGAAGAAAAGAAAAAAAGGGCGTAGCATTATAAAAAAACCAGAGTCCTTGTTAAAAATTCTAAGTTGCCAATTAGTCGTTTCACAGGCCATGCCCCATTTGTGACGGGGAAACTTGGCAACATGAAAGTCCAGATTCCAAGGAGGAAAAATAATACACAATTTGCATTACATGTCTCACAGTCATTCATCTCCGGTGGAATGACTTGTTTAATCTTACTTTATAAATGCTGATGAGTCTGGCATTGGCTGCAGAATTTTGGTTAATTGACGGTATAAAATATAATCTACTGAGGATATATAGATTCAGCCTGTAATAAAATATATAATCACCTTAATTTTGGATTAATCCCAAACCAAGTAAATTCAGGTGATTATTCAGGCTGAGTTTAAATGTTGGAAGGGCAAACAGTTGACTTAGGACAAAACTTGGACTAATTAATATGTCTCTATTTTCTAAAAATTATGTAATTATTATTGATAATACACAATTAAAGGTTTCTCATTGTTCCCAAAAGTGGGGAAATATAAAAAGAAAAACTATTCTCGTCACACTCAATTTTAGGGATATGATACTCTTTTACTTATCTTTAAATTAACTTGCAACAAATTTAGTTTAATTTCTGCTAACTTGAGATATAGTTCATCTGTTATTCTATATTGAGAAGGAATTGAAGAATGCTTTCATTCTTATGATTAATGAATAATTTTGTTATTAACTGGGAATATAAAGAGTCAATGACGATTTTCTTTTTAAAAACATGTGACAGATTGCCCCACACAAGGTTCCTCTTGCTCCATACCTAGCACATTCACCTCATGATCATTTGGGTATAGCCTCCAAAAATATGCTGTGTAAAGCCTAACTGACTTGAGAATTGGAAAAATGAGATTCCCCATTAATAAAAAAGAGAAGCATCTGCACGTTTCGGCACCCACCCCTTGCTTAACCCTGCCTCTTTAGCTTTGTCAAGAAGTACCAGATAGGGCCTCATAAAGGAAAAGGATAATATGTGTCATTTATCCATTGATGGAGAAATCATTTGTTGCCTTTCACTTTTCCCATTGTCAAACTGTTAAGTGTATCTAAGGCTTGTGGACAGACCCACCAAAGACATTAAGCCAAGGTGCTCACTTTTGTGTGGTAGATGGAAGGTGGATTTTTAGGGTGTGGATATTTCCTCTTTTTACCCTTTTGACATATTTTTTCCCTTCTTTTTTTCCTTTTTAAAAGGGTGGGTCTTACAATGTACTGCTTTAGTCTGGCCCACATGAAGCCCTTCACATGCTTTTATTGGAAGTTTAGGGGAACCCCTTTGGAATAGGGTGGATCCATGTTATTCCTTGTTGCCTCACCTCAATATTTATTAAAGAAGAAAACACTCTGAATCTTCTCCACGTGCCCTCCTGTTCCCATGTGCCCTGCTTCCTCTCTCTCTCTCTCTCATCGGTTTTCCTTAACCAAAATTTTTCTTTATAGCAAGTGGTTCAACCATATAGAACTTTTAATGCTAATGACTTGATGCCATGTACTACTACTTCTATAAACACATTACCAAAAACTCAATCCAATAGGAGACCAACCAACAATCGAAAAGTTCTTATAATTGAAGTTCCCTCCCCCCCTCCCTTGACCCAAAAGCAGAAACAAAAACATTAATAGCAAGTGATCCCAAGTTGAGTTTGAAATTTAATGTTTCATGCAACCTAAGTAGGGGGAGGAGTAGGGTTCACATGGACTTCAAATGTTTTTTCATTCTCACAGATACCAACTTTCAAGCACATTTATGAAACTTAGATGATTAAAAAGTTGCCAAGATATCAAGTGATGATCTTCATCGTTTCAAACAAATTAGTTAGTCTTTAGGACCTAGGAAGCATCTAGCTAGCTTGGGCTATATATATGTATATATATATATATATATATATATATATATATTGTTCCAATCATTGCCTGCTCTATGACTTTGTCCTGAATCATGGTGTTGCAATGTGTCATAAAATTTGTAGGCATATATTGCTTTGTGGCTATGGAGGAAGACAAATGGAAATGTATATTTAACAATAGAATATCTTTGGTGGAATGAACAAAAAGCACTTAAAAAAGTACACATCCATATATATGTTTCTAACTTTACTGGTTTGTGCATATTCATCTTTTATCTTTTGTTCGCACCAGAATAATTTGACAGTAATCATCTTTAAATTTCAAGTATGGACTCTCAGCAAAGGTGCCTCGGTTAGATTTGCTCATTTCTTGTCGTGTCTGATTAGTAATGAAGCTCAGTTCATGTCATAGCAACAAGTAGTAACGATTTTGCATGACTTGACAACTACAAAGAATTTGGAGCTCATGCCGATTACCAACATTGAATCCTAATTTCTTTTCCAGCTGAACAGTATTATTACTTATATACACATTGGTAATCAAGTTATAGTAAATAATGAAGACATTAAATTATAAAGCTCTCATATTTGTTTAAGTACCTTCTACCGTTCTCTTTTCACCGAGGGATGTGTGTTATTATAAAGGGCCGGGCCGGTGATCTATTCATTGGCAACGTACTGCGAAACATTTGGGCTCAAGAATATTGGCATGTCTAATATAACAAGCTTTGAGCATACTACTATATACATTGCATATAATGATTTTGAGGCCTTGATCAACTAAATGGGCCAGTCTCAGGAAATCTCTACCTCATCTCTGTTTCGAGTCTGCTTTAACTGCAACAATTGATTTTGAAGCTATCTCGCCAAGCCTGGCATGCCTACCCTATACAGATCAAGCCCAGATGGAATAATTTCCTCATACTTAAGAATTGACTTAACGAGTTAAGAAGCCCCTTTGAACCGTGTCTATTCACAGACAATCTCGAGTTTTTTTATTATATTTAATTAAATTTTTATTTTTAAAATTTATATTTATACAAGTTCTACATCCAAATATAAAATTAAATCGTGTCTAAATCTAATGTCAATTGATTTTTTTTTCACATTATATATGACATGATAATTTATGTGATTACATAAGAATTGGCATGATTACATAGTAACTAGTGTGGAGTAATTGGTCACATCATATATATGACATATAAACAAAAAATATCAGTTAATATTAAGTCTGACAATTGTTATTTGGGTATAAAAGAATGAGAGTTTTATAACATAAATAGACATAATTCAAAATTTTTTTATTGTATAAGCCTTAAAAACCCATGTTGGTTGTTTCAATTAAGAATCATACTATTATATAGCATCCCAGCATTAAATTCAATTATAGCCCTAATGCATGTTTTTACTCAAAAAGTTAAATTCGAATAAAAAATATTGTGTTTTATAAAACAAAGACTGGAAATTTAGGGTTAGAAGGAGGTGTTTTCAAGTTTGAGTTATCTGAGAATGGAAGGAAAGAGAAGTGGAAAAATCAAACTGACCCATTCCATCCACAGCACTCAGCATTCAGCATTCACAGCCGAAATGTGGAATTTGAGGAAGCACTACTCAATAAAAATAGAGTTAGTGGAAACCCATAAACTTCAATTAGAAGCAATCAGCAGACAGACATTCCATCCAAGAAGCCACTAACTCCCATCATATATTTTATGCTTTTTCCTTTTTTTGGGGTTTCATTTTGGTTTCAATGGCTTCTTATTAAGCGTAAAAAGTGGTCAAACTCATTTATTTTTATCATAGAAGGGTTAGGAAGCTGGAAATGCAACCTTTTTCTTTTCCTTCCTTGTTTAATGGAAGTGACATGCACGTCTGCTTGTACCCTAAATAGGGCAATGTACGGTTTACCTGGACTTTGAAGACTTTGCTATGTTCTTTGTGAAGATATCTATATTTTTCGAGATTCAATGTCAAACTTTAAAGGCCGAGCTATTTCTCCTCATGAACCTCACCTTAATTCCTATTCAACAGCATGGTGGTTTGGGAGTTGATACAAAAGTGTAGTCACAAATCTAAATTTTCAATCATGCTTCTACCTAATATCACGTTGCTATATACAAAATTATTATTTATAATCTTTATCATCATTTTTTTTAAATTAATTTATATAATTTGAATGGTTTTTTAAGTCAATGGGGTTTTTGATTCAATGGCGACAGTGTGGCACTGGTGGTTCATTTCATTGAACCAAATGTCCTTAATTATTCGCATTCTTTTTATTTTTTGTTTCTCTTAACTATAAAACTATAAAAGATTTAT